GCCCCCCCCCCCCCCCCCCCCCCCCCCCGCAAAGTTGCACTCAGAGATGTCCTATGACCTCTAGCACATTTGCACACCTGCATTTGTTATCTGTGAAACAATGAACCATTGTTTGAATTGAGGCTTTTCAGCTCTAAAGGTTATTATGCTAATGTTCAGTTCTGTCCCTTCTCTCAGTTAAATAATCCACATGCAGAGTGTGTCCAACCCAGGGCACCATACAGCCAATTTGCTGTGAATCTCTGATCACACCCGTAGCCCACCTGGGACATCTGTAGTGAGCTAAATCATTCTAAGTAGAGGAATTAGACCAATGTATTCTATTAGAGAAGAACACTGTGGATCTCAGTATTCGGCACCAGACATTTAATGATGGAATTGAATTGTGCTGTGGATTTATAGAAGAAAAAGAAATCCATCTTATTTTACTAGGAGCTTGACACTTTTAGTTCGAGAATTTATACTTTTGAATGGTCCCTTCATACATTACAAACACACTTTCAATGTGCCTCAGTTAGGTTAGCTGCTTACTTCGTAAAAGCCTTGAACAAAGTGTGGGGATTGGGGCCACTTTAAGAGTAAGAGAGGTGACAGAGGATCGCCCTAATGATGAAATGGTTTGGAGAGTGTAAGAAAGCTTTTATTTACAAAAGCAGGGAAATTCTGAACAGAGAAATTCTTTTGCAAATTGCTTCAGAACACTAGCTATCTGCCCAAGACTTCCTTACCAGAAACCTAAATGGGAATTCTACTTAACAGCCCAGCAGTTGCTATATGTGGGCTCATATGCCGCATAGGCTTTCCTGTTGGGAGGAAAGGCTGTTTGCTATGCCCATTGGTACACTTGAGAGCTGAGGTAAACAATAAAATAAAATATAACTGTGTGACAGATCTCTCTCTCTCTCTCCCTCTCTCTCTCTCTCTCTCTCTCTCTCTCTCTCTCTCTCTCCCTCCCTCCCTCCCTCCCTCCTTCTCTCCTTCCCTCCCCTTTTCTCTCTCCCTTCCCCCTCCATCTCCCTCCCCTTCTTCTTCCTCCCTCTCCTGGGGATTCACAGCCTGGACCCCCTGCATGACAAGCAAGTGCCCCATTACAGAGATACAGTTCCAGCCTTCCTGTGGGGTTGATTGGTCTGCAAGTAAATGTTACAATGATGTTAACAACGTTGAGAGAGGTGGAGATTTGAAGGTGAAGAACAAACTTTGCAGCAGCAGTGCAAGCCAACAGGTCTGTAAAACAATTTGCCTGTAGTTCCTGTTGACTCATACTATACAGTCTTTTGTTGTTAGGAAACTGTGGGACAGAATGCCCCTCCAGATGAAGACAGCACAGTGAGCAACTAATACAGCAGATAAATGTCCATATA